TGATGTGGGGTATTTGTGTTTATGTGTATGCACACACACACACATACACACACACACATATACAGTGGGATATTACTCAGCCACCAAAAAGAAGGAAATCTTGCCATTGGTAATGATGTGGATGGAACTAGAGGGTATTATGCTAAGTGAAATAAGTCAGAGAAAGATAAATGCCATATGATTTCACTCATATGTGGAATTTAAGGAACAAAACAGATGAACATAGGGGAAGGGAAGGAAAAATAAAATAAGATGAAAATTGAGAGAGAGACAAACCATAAGAGACTCTTAACTATAGGGAACAAACTAAGGATTGCCGAAGGGAAGGTGGATGGGGGGATGGGGTAATTGGATGATCGGCATTAAGGAGGGCACTTGATGTAATGAGCACTGGGTGTTATATGCAACTGATGAGTCACTAAATTCTACCCCTGAAACTAATAATACACTATATGTTAAATGAATTTTAAAAAAAGGAACTTAAAAGACTGAAAACTATTAGGTAACATAAGGCAATGGTCTGAAATAAATTCTGAAACTATTTTGACCTTGGGCTGTATTAATAAAATAACTAGAACAAGAAAAGGCCAGAATTGACTTCATTCTGTGTTGATCATTATGGAATTTAGATCTAGGGACATAGACAAATTGGAACATATTCAGAAAAGAGCAACTAGCATGATGAAAGGTTTTTTTTTGTGTGTGTGTGTGTGTGTGTGTGGAGAATAGCAGAAGAAACAAGAGTTGTATGGTTTAGAGGAAAGAAAACTTGAGGAGCATAATAGCTATAATAGTTATGAGGTTTGCCATTGTAAGAAAAAAAAGCACTTCTAACTGCCTTTAATAATGAACATAATTTATGGGCTCATATAACTCAAAAGTTCTGAGACAAGTTGGATTTTAAGTGAGGCTCAATCTAGTGGCCTAGTTAATCTTTCTATTTTGCTTTCTACAGTTTTGACCGAAACTGGCTGCCACTCTCTCTCTTCTTGGGTCAGGATATCTGCTGGCAACTATTAGGGCTATGTGCTTCCTTCATGTCAAGCGAGAGTCTGAAAAACCTTTTTCCTCCTATATAGCTCATTGAAAGAAAGAGTAATTTTCTTTTTCCAAATCCCTAGGAAATATCTCTTGTATCTCATTGGCTAGAATTGTGGCACATGCCAATCTCTGAACAAATTACAGGGGCCATAGGGATGGTGTGTGCAAATTAGCATGGCTAATCACAAATCTATGTTTTGAGCTGAGATATTATGTCCATCAGGATTCTCAGGAGGAACAGAACCAGCAGAAGATATACACACACACACACACACACACACACACTTGTATATTACATATTGATAAATATTATATATAAAATATATATTTAAATATATAAATGGTGTGTGTGTATATGTATATCTCCTACTGGTTCTGTTTCACCTGAGAATCCTGATGGATATAATATATAATATATAAAGGGATTTATTTTAAGGAAATTGCTCACACAATTGTAGGACTGGCAAGTCTGAAATAGATAGGACAGGCCATCAGGCTAGAAATTCTCTGACAGGAGCTGATACTGAAGTCTTGAGGCTGAATTTCTTCTTCCTCTGGGAAACCTCAGTTTTTGCTCTTGGAAAGCCTTTCACCTTATTGGATGAGGTACACCTACATTACTAAAGGTAATGTCCTTACTTAAAGTGAACCGATTATTAACTACATTTACAAAGCAACACCTCGATTAGTGTTTGATTAAATAACTAGGTAATGTAGCCTTGCCAAGTTGACATATAAACCACCATAGATATAATCAGTCTCGCCCAAAATACATGGCTGAAATTTTGAGGTCCTGCTGGAAGAGAGATTGGCCAACTAAGAGGCTGCCAACAAATATCCCTTACAATGACTAATAGTAGATATGTGAAAGGCTTCCATGGTTGTAGGTTTTCAGTTGTTTTACATAGACTAATATCAAGGGGAAAAAATATAGAAATGGTGAGGAAACAGTTATCAACTAAAAAATAATTAGCAAAAAACAGTAGTGAGTTCTGATTATTGGAAACGTTCAAACATGAGCTAGATGGTTGTCAGGTAAGGCCTTAAAATTAAAGCCCAATATTATGTGTTCTTGACATCTGGGGAAAATTGGAAGACCTTCCAGTGGCCCAACCACAAGTTCTCCTCCCCACTGTGCTCTCACAGATAAGGTTCCTGAGCCAAAGGACCCTTATTATCAAAGGGATAAGTAAAAACATCTGCTTATCTCTGAGTAGCGGGTTTCAGTTCTCTGCCCATGGAATTCCTCAGACAAGCCAATCACATTCTTTCATGGGAACGAAGAGTCACCGGCTCTTTTGATACTTAAAACCTGCTTATTATAGCCTCTGCTTGCCCACTCTGTTCCTGAGTGCAACCCACATGTAGCCATGCATGGTACATGCTGCCCTCCTCCCCTGGGCTATAAGGATGTGTGATTAATAAACTGTCAATCTCATCTGTCCAGTGGCCAGGTGCTGTTCTTTCAACCATTTCCATAATTCTAGAATGGGAATCCCTCCCTCACCGACGGGGAGAATGGGAGGTGGTTAAAACAGTGACTCTCCCCCTTCCCCACCCCACCCAGCAGTGATGGTGGAGACGGAAAAGATTCAAACATCAGTTAAATAATTGGAATTAGTGATTTGTGAGTTGCTTTCCAATCCCAGTATTCTATTATTTGTGTTCCCAGTGTTAGTATTAGCATTCATTGTGTATTTCCAAATACAGATATAACAATTTATCTTTCTACTATTAGCATCCATCAGGTTGTTTCACAAATTATTCATTTACATATTTCTTTTTCTCAGTTCAAAGCTTTGAAAAGCCATGCTTTATTCATCTTTATATACCTTCAGTTAACATAATGTCTGATATATAGCAGATAACCAATGAATTTTTGGTGAGTGAATCTGAAAATCAAGTTTCTCCATCAGAAACTGGGGAAAAATTACCAATGAGCAATGAAGTTCTCCCTAAACATAACATCATAGGGGTGCCTGGGTGGCTCAGTCGTTAAGCATCTGCCTTCGGCTCAGGTCATGGTCCCAGGGTACTGGTATCGAGTCCCGCATCGGGCTCCTGCTCAGCGGGAAGCCTGCTTCTCCCTCTCCCACTCCCCCTGCTTGTGTTCCCTCTCTCGCTGTCTCTCTGTCAAATAAATAAATAAAATCTTAAAAAAAAAAACATAACATCATAAACATGAATTCCCCAACACTGTTGAAATCCAAACTTACCCTATCCACCTGTAGATGGAGGGAATAAGGTCTTGGGAGAGTTGCCAATTTTTTCTCCTCATTCCCCATCCAAAATGCATACCATTTGCCCTAAGGCTTCTGAAGAACCCTGCAGGCAGCATCTCACTTTGTGTAGGAAGGAGAATTAGTATAGCTGCAAGGTGATCCCAACTTCTTGCCTGTCTATTGATTTTGAATGCTCCATTCACTTCAAAATCCCTGGTGAAAGCTAAAACATTATTTCTTCAAGAAGGTATTTATTTTAAGCATAGTTTCATGCTTCATGCTTGAGGTGTGCAGCTGCACAGCACCCCTATCCTAAATTATGGGAAAAATATAGAACAATCTAAAGTGTTTGTCTTGAAGATGTTTGACATATCTTTTTTCTGTGATCTCTGCTTTATTATTTATTGTACTTAAATTGGCTTACTCATTAAATTTATTTTTTATTAACATACAGTACTATATAAGTTTGAGGTGTACAGTGTAATGATTGACTTACAAATATTGTGAAATGATTACCACAGTAAGTTAGTTAACATCCATCATCTCATATAAATATAAAAAAAGAAAAAAATATGTCTTTCCTTGTGATGAGAACTCTTAGGATTTACTCTCTTAACAGCTACCTATATATCATACAACAGTGTTAACTGTAGTTGTCATGTTGTATATTACATCCCTAGTACTTATTTAACTTATTTATCTGGACATTTGTACCTTTTGACCACCAATTCTCTTTTCCCCATCTCCTACCTCTGGTAACCACAAATCTGATCTCTCTCTCACTCTTTTTTTTTTTTTTAATGAATTTGGTTTTCTCTCTCTCTTTTTAAGATTTCACATATGACATCATACAATAATTGTCTTTCTCTCTCCGACTTATTTCACTTAGATAATGCTCTCAAGGTCCATCCAGACTATCACAAATGACAAGATTTCCTTCTTTTTTTAAGGCTGGATAATACTCCATTTGTGTGTGTGTGTGTGTGAGAGTGTGTGTGTGTGTGTACATGTGTACGTGTACACAACTTCCTTATTCATCTGTTGATGGACACTTAAGTTGTTTCCATGTTCTGGCTATTATAAATAATGCAGTTATGAAAATGGGGGTGCAGATACCTCTTCAACAGAATGTTTTCATTTCCTCTAGATATATTTCCAGAAGTGGAATTGCTGGATCATATGTTAGTTCTATTTTTAATTTTTTGAGGAAGCTCTATACTGTTTTCCATAGTAGTTGAACAAATTTACATCCCCACCAACAGTGCACAATTCCCCTTTCTCCACATCCTCACTAGCATTTGTTATCTCTAAATTTATTCTTTTGATAAATGATATATGCTTCTTTTCCTGACCCATAGATTTAAGATTTTTTTTTTTTTGGAAAAGAGTTTATTTTGTGCAAATGAGTAAGAGATTTTTTTAAAAGAACTATGAATGACCTGATCTGACAAAGGAATTTTGCAAATTCGTGAACTTACTGTATACCTTCACAGAATATACAATAAACTGTTTATTAGCAAAAATAAAATTATATTAATTCACCTCTGGTGTTGAAACCAAGGATGTAAAGTTTCCATTTCCATATGTCTTTATATAGTACCAAGCATGTGATTGGTCCTTACTAAATACATATTGGTTAAATAAGCTAATAATAGGCTGTGCTTCCTTCCATTGATCATAGACCTTAAGAATTTAATATAACAAAGTCTTTTCTCCATCTCCTGGGTTTATTCACAGTAAACAGATCCGAGCTATGCTAGGCCAGTTCAGCCAGGCAGAAGCCTTATTAATGAAAGCTGGAGTGCAGCCAGGGACTTTGGATGGAGTTCTTTTGGATCTTGGGTGTTCCTCCATGCAACTTGATGCTCCTGAAAGAGGTTTTTCCCTCCGGAAGGACGGCCCCTTGGACATGAGAATGGATGGTGGCAGGTGAGTATCGATAAAGCATTTCTCCTCACAACAAGAAATCAATTTTGCAGAAACACTCTGGATTTAATTTCCTTTTAAGACTGCAGAATTCCCATCACACGCCCACACCTAACACTATCCATACATAATAAATCAGGTTTGTTTGCTAGTCATTATAGATTTTAGTGTTTCTCTAGATTTGAGATTCTAAAAGAAGAATCATTGCTATCTTTACACAAAATAGTGAAGAGGATAACTTTCATATTATCTTTTTTATAGATACAATATAAGCCTTTAGACTACAAACAGTATTGATAAATGTGATACTGAAACAATGGATCCATTTCTATCCAGGCCCAACTATGCCTATTGTGAGATGTAAAAGGAATTATATTTAATGCATATTCTTTTGAATACTAAATAAAATGCAAGATTCTGGAGGTCAGCAATTGTATGTTTTGTCCTGTCTCTTGTACAGTCACTTTGGTTTAACCTTCTCCAGAGAAATTACAGTTTATGGTACTGTATCAACATAGTACTATGTATAGGACAGCTTTACACCTCCTCTTCATTCCTCACCACCCTGGAAAGTTTGTTCTCCATTATTCAAGGAAGTGCATATAACACAAAGATGATCACATTCTAGTAAAGTGTGGGATAAGTTCTTTTAAACCTAAATTAATTTTTAAAGCTTAGATTAGCACTTGTCTCTCTGCCTAACACTGGCTCAGGGTCGGAATAGCCTGTACGTACAAAGCTTAACCGTGTTTTTCTTCCTCATTTCATGCCCCACCACCACTGCCAAATTATGTATCACAGCCCCCACCTTTGGGAAGCTTACCTTCTAAGAGGAATATTAGATTTTCTTATTTCTAAATAAGCAAACCATTCTGTTACTGTTACTAATCTGCAGTTTTAACCTGCACAAACATTTCTACTGAGACAAATAGATTTTCCAAAATGTCTTCCAATCTATTAGAAGGACCTGTATATAAGAAATTTAATGTCCTGTTTAAGTCAGCAAATTAATATTGAGTTGACTTTGACTTCTTTCCCATAAAATGCTTTGTTCAATGGTAATTATTCACATATAGCCTTTTCCCCATGTTTTGATATGACCTGGTAACTTGGATTGTGACCCATACTTGTTGGAACCTTTTTGTTCTGAATCTTACACTTCTTTTGCACAAGTTGGCATTCATAGGATGAAGAATGTGCTTATAAAAGAAAATAATGAAAATCCTTTAAAAAGCAGTGACTAATAGTAAAGGTCAAATATCTTTTCATGTTTGAGATTGAGGTTGTTGTGTAGAGGTAATAAAATGTCAAGCAAATTTCTTCTGTTCCTATGTCTTGTTAAAGGAGGATGCCTTCTGAAATACAATGAACAAAGTTTCTAGTTAATGGTAGTAAATCCCCATATTGTTAATATAAAGACTTTTCAGCAAATTGTAGTCTGTGAATCAGGGTTCTTGAAGTTTTCCCCTAAGAACCTGAAAATAAAATTGCCCTTGAGCATTAAACTCTAAGTCAATACATAATGGATGAGATTAGTGTTGAGCAAATATATCTTAAAAATCAGGGTGGCTTCCAGGTAGATAGCATAGACTGTATAACCTAATCATTGCAAGTATATCCAATACTTGATCCAAGTGGTGTTATGGGGCGAGGGAGTCCAAGCCAAAAATTATGGCCAGTCAGATCCTGGAAGCTAATATATCTCTGTGATGAAGGTAGATGCAAGAGGCTTTCCTAACCTGTTGTCATTTAACACTGGACTCGTATAGCATAGTTTAGTCTGTGCTATCCTGATTTCAACAACAGATCTCAGATTACAAAAGGTTCTCATGTAGCAAAAAGAAACACAGCTTCAAGGACTCGCAGGTCTAATTCTGTTGTCAGTTGTATTCTTCATTGGAAATTAATAAATTTCACTTGTGTTAATATTTTCTTTCTGTCTTTAGTGCAGTTATTTTAAATCAGTGATTTCTGGAGAACCGACAAGATCTCTCACCTGTTAATTTGGGGCGGGGGGCAGATTTTGTATCTTGACTTCACTGTGAATGCCTATTCTGAAGTCTCCTAGCAGCCTATCAGCTTTTCAGTGTTGCCCCTTTTGTAAATGGAAACTTCTACATTGCTATTCAGTGTTAACATGAGGGTAAAATAAAATTATGTCCATTATCCACTGAACTATATTTGAGCAAAATGCTGTTTAATGGTCTTACTTAAAAGTAGAAAGGTATTATAAGAAACTGCTAAGTACATCCGTACTAATCTTAGAGTTGTCCTGGTAGAGCTGGACTATATCCTGTGGGTCTGAATTTACTATCATTAATAAGGTTCATTTCAATGCTCAGTGGTTTGGACAGTTGAACACACAGCACGTAAGATCTAGCTAGGATGTTGTCCATTAGGCTAAGGATGATGGGCAAATCTAGGAATGGGCAAGATCTGGGACACAGACATTCATTGAGCTTCTGTATGCCAGACATTCTACTATCTATTTTACAATTGCATGTACTCTTAATTTTTCCAACAATTCTATGAGGAAAGCATTGTTATTTCATTTTACAGGTTAGCAATTGGGGCTTCAGTAGGTTTAAAAACTTACACAATATGAATAGCAAGTCTGGGATTCTAACCTCTGTTGATCTGACTCTAAAGACCAAATCTTTATCCTTAAAGCTATTATTGAAAGAACAAAGGCTATTGAGATGGAAACAGGGCTACCTTATAGGATGTTCATTAGTCTGGGGGTACCATGGTAGCCAAAAAAAAATGAGTCAGATCTGGAAAGCAAGGTTTCATTCTCTCTCTCTGTGTCTCTCTTTCATACACACACACACACACACACACACAGACACACGCACACACATACACACACACACACAGTAAGACAGAGAGAGGGAGGGAGAGGTCATGGCAAAATAGGGCAAAAGCCAAACACAACAACAAAATTTTCTCCTGGAGGCACTAGGCATGTTAACAAGGTGCAGTATAGTATTTTTAAGAAGGGATTCAGGTGTTTCTTCACAGCCCCACTGTGGTATAGTCTTTAGGTCTTAAAGCTACCATATCCTTATTACTTAAAGTCCTCACAGTGTGATACTGACAATCAGTCCAACACATTAACTACAGGAGTAGTAACTGTACTGTTAACAAAGCTATCTTACTAATAAGTAAGGCCTCAGTTGGTTCATCACTTAGAATTCCTTCACACATTTCCCTAAAGGAAGGTAAACTGGAATGAATGGTCTGACAGAGTGAATGCTATTTGCTACTACTGTGATCTATTCTATTTGGCTAGAGGTTGTTTTTTCTTTGTCTCCTGCACCTGAAATTACCATCTCAGGCTTGTTTAGTACTGTTTCTTGATTCCTAAGTTTTACCCCATGGTGACTTTAGTCATGGGTTTATAAACCAATATCATTAAACATTGGAAATAACATACATTATTACCATTAAGGTTGTTCAGTTTTTTGTGAGGGGAACAGACTGGGAGTATCTTCTTGTATAGACTTTCTAAGTTCAATTTGTGCTCCCATATAAGTACTCAGTTACTTTATAATCTCAGAATTAAGTTCCTGAGATATAGGCGCCTTTAAATATCTGTCCATATCTTGTATCTTCTTATAGTGAAAAACAAAATCAAGCAGTAATTTAAATTTTGAACAAGCTAAATCCAAACATTTTCCATTATTTTAGTTTAGGGGAAATCTGCATTAGTAATAATAACTTCTTTGTGAATTAAAGGTTAGTAAAATATATTAATTTCCTGCTGCCCTTGACCTTGATGAATGTCACACACAATCCACTATTGCTCTTATGATGGGTATTTGAAATGGAAAATCTATTTCGTTTGTTTAAGATTTCAGTCTCTGACTTTAAAAAACCTCAGACGTTCTCTTAGACTCTTTGTGTATGCCTGACTTCAGTACTCTGAAATTTCACCTCTTGTCAATGAAAACTGACGTCAGCAAACTAATTGGCTCTTCTTGTGCGTAGGTACCCTGACATGCCCACCGCAGCTGATGTTGTGAACGCTTTAGATCAACAGGCACTTGCATCCATCCTGAGAACATACGGGGAGGAGAAGCATGCCAAGAAAATCGCTTCAGCAATCGTTCAGGCACGCAGCCTTTACCCCATCTCCAGAACCCAGCAGCTTGCCAGCATCGTTGCAGGTACCCTCATTAATTCTGAACAGTGTCTGAGAGGAAAAAAAAAAAAAAAAATATATATATATATATCCCCCAAACCCCCAGAGGGATTCATTTGTACTTAAAATCATGCAGGATAGAATCTTGCGTATCCTTCTCTCCATACCAGCTTTCTTTTGGTTTTGCAAGCTTCTCCCCTCCAACACCTCTCCCCCACACAATTTAAGAAAATACACTGTAGTTGCTGATTAGTTGAACAATAGATTTTTTTTTTTTTATAGAGGTAATTTATCATTTATGCCTACCAAAGTGAAATGTGGAATGACAAGAGCGGAAGAATTTCTTGATCCATCACAGTGGTTGATAAGCATTCTGTATAAGATCTGACATTACCTCTCTTAGTTTCACATTTCTGCATTTTAATATTTTGGGCAAAAGGAGAATTGCATTGCCCAACTGCTAAAATAAAATCCAGTGACTCATACATCTATTCTAAACAACCAGCTAACAAAGGGTATGTGATGTATAGGTTATTCCACTTTGTGAATGCTAACTAAATCAGCCTGAGGGGCTTATTGAAATATTTCATCTTTTGTGCTGTTTGCCACCATAAACCTCTTGAACTTAAGTCTAGCTAGGAGGCGCTTTATTATAGCCTTTCTGTTTGAAGCCAAAGTTGTTTCACAGCTGTGTTCCGTGATGAAAGTTTTCCAAGGCAAAAATACAACTCCTGCGGTTATTTAACAGAATTCCAGTGTTAAATTCTTCATCTTGTTGGGCCATCTGAAACCCTACATCATTTTTATTTACCAAATGTATTAGGATTTCTTTTCAATGGCTCCTGTTAAGTTACTTAAGTAGATAAAGAAGTAGTGAAAATGAATAATTATGTAGCTTATAAAAAGAACCTAATATTAGTTGCCTCTATCTTAATATTATGTATAGTTTAAGGAATAAAACTTGATTATAAATTCATTCAGATGAAGATTTAGAGATCATATAGCAATTGTTTTATGACATAATTTAATAAAACTCTATTTTACTTAGGATAATAAAATATAGAGTTGGCCAAGTCTTTAAATTTTTTAAGCTTTATACACACCTCAAGGCCTTTCCAACTTACTACTGAGATTCCTGTAGTCAAGTAAGAGCAAAATTCTTATAGGTTATATGATCATAAAATATGCCATGGTATTTTTTCCCAAAAAGAGTTTGTATTAGCACACTGCATTAATTTGCCCTCTGTCTTGTATCCCTTTCTTTCCACTCTATACTCACTAACCATTACTACCTTACCTTACCCTTTCTGTCATTCTTTAGCTGTATATGTTGTTCTCTGTCTCCCATATTTTTATACATGAGAAAATCCAGAATTTTCTAGTGCTGAAAATGGGGATCAGGGCTAAGGGCATCCTAGAGATCATCCAGTCAAAAAACCTCATCTGATAACTGAAGAAACTGAGCCTCAGGGAGGGTCAGTGGTTTCCTCCAAGGTAGACAGCCTAGTTAATGGCAAAGTCAGTACTAATCTAGAATTCGGAAGTTCATGAATTTGAGGCATAACTGGGAATTTGCCTTTAAGATATTGAGTTAACTTTTTTGTCTCAGGGTCCTAATCTGCAAACTTGGGGTAATAACACTGTGGCATTACACAGAAATTATATCAAGATGTAGAATAGGAACAGTTTAAGTATTTTCAGAAGGATTATGATGTGGAAAACATATTAGGGCTATGAGAAATGATATCATAAAAATGAGAATATTCATATATGTGTAGAATTAAATAAATGCCATTAAAAGATTGAGTTCCCCATAATGAGTCCTTTTTTATGGCTCAAATCAACCCATAATAATACATATTTACTGATGATATAATTCTGTGGAAAAGGGAAAAACAAAAAAAAAATGGGTTTGCATTTTGTGCTCTTTTATTCAAAAACCATTTTGGGAGAGGATGCTAAATACCAGGCATTATACTGAGTACTAACAGTGGAAGGGGGGAGCAGATCAGAGCCTCTATTCACAAAGTTTACTGACTGGTAAGTAGCTGAATAAAAGCATAGTATAGTAAACATGGTTCTTCTACTTATAGTGGAAATCCCCTTATTTATCATAGTCTGAAGTTATGATTGTGTGGGTAATAGAAAAAGTTGGTACATGTGGAGAATTATAGAACCTATACATATTTATATATATGGAGATGCTCGGGTCCTAATTGCAGTTCTGCAAAGTCCATTCTTACATAAACCACAACCATGGTGTATCTTCTACAGCTCTGATTTTATTTTTATTAAAGTAAAGTTAGAGTTTAAAGGTACTTACAGAGCAATCTGAACATATTTTCTAGATTTTTATAATTTTTCTATCTTTCATAATTACCTCATGTGCATCTAATTTGATTGCATTTTTTACATGACTTACCTTTATCGAGAGTCTCCAAAGTGTCTACGTTAGTTTTCATGAGAACAGCAGATGTCTTTCATTTTGCATTCATATTTCACCAGTTTATGTAATATTTGATTAAATTAATTAATGGCAAAAGTAAGTGCTCTGGGCTATAAGGGTATAGCTCTTTCGGTGGGAGCAGGACTGTATAGGAATGCTCAGAGTAAAATACTACCCTGAGACACTTGAACAGAGAAAGGGATTAATTTGTCAAGTCTCTTAAATAGAAGTGTCTTAAGAGAGCTACTCATAGAGGAAATATGGAAAGCAATGGAGGGCCCAGTAAGGTTCCTGTATTAGTTTTCTAGTGCTGCAGTAACAAAGTACCATGCATTTGGTGGCTTAAAATAACAGAAATTTATTCTGTCACAGTTCTGGAGGCTAGAAAGGCCAAAGTCAAGTTACCAGCAGGGCTCTAGGGGAGAATGCCTCCTTGACCATTCCTAGTGTCTGGCAATCCTCGGTGTTCCTTGGCTTGTATATGTATCACTAAGTCTCTGTCTCCACTATCATGTGGGATTCTCCCTGTACATGTTTTTGTGTCCAAATTTTCCTTTTATTATAAGGACATTAGTTGTATTGGATTTAGGGCCCAACCTAATAGAGTATGTCCTCAACTTGAATGATATCTGCAAAGACCCTATTTCCAAATAAAGTTATGTTCACAGGTTCCTCGTAAACACAAACTTTGGGGGACACTATTCAACCTGGTACAGTTCCTAAGCAATATCTTTATTTAACAAACATGTATTTTGGCAGGCTATAACATGCTATGACTATATTCAGACATCTTTTCTGGTTCTAATAAAATCATACTAAGTATGTCCAAAATTATCAAGCACTCTGGGAAATATGCCACATAGTAAAGCCCATATATTGATGGAAATATAAATCACTTCCTTTACTTTCAAAAAGCTAATAATCCATTAGGACAAGGAAGACCATGACACTTGTAATCACAATATACTTAGTGGAATTACATAATAATTCAAGTGATTAAGTTGTAATTTGTAAAACCTAAAGCCTAGTGCCTTTTGCTAGTACAAGTAACTACAGTTCCAGTACTCTTCCAATATCATGTAAGCACCAAAAGACAGGTTTGAGGCTGCAGTTTGGAACAGGACACTTAAAACTACCATGAATTACTTTGTAAATTACCAAATTAGTAATTTATCATTCCAAAAACAACCTGTGGGACTTCACTATTCATACACACTATTTAGAACTACTAGCCAGAAATTTTAATATTAATATCTAACACATGTTAGTGTTCTCTCCAAAAATAATTCATAAATAACAAAGCACATTTTGTTAAGCCTAGTTTATGTTCTAATACAGTTATAACTAAAAAGTTAGATTTATGAAATCTAAGACCTGAAAATGACCTGAGGGACTAATTTAATGTAGAACCAAACTCTTCCTCACCTCTAATAAATGGTCATCTTGCTTTAGCCTTGTCATCTCCATCTGTTTTACTCCCCTTGTATTTCTGTGAAGAGGAGCACATTTCAGTCTGAAATTGCTAGTTCCATAAATAGAGACTTAAAGTCTTTAGAAAGCATGAATTCCTTAGAATAAAATCCAAATTCCTTTCCATGGTTTGCAAAGCTTTTCATGGACCAGCTCTTACCTGTCTTTTCATTTTCATCTTTCTTGCTCTCCACAATAATCTCTGTCCTAACCATACTAAAGTTCTTATAGTCTCCTCTTTCCAGCACACCATAGTCGCTCTCACATACAGGCCTTGTGTATTATTAACATTAACACTAAAGTGCCCAACCCCTATCCTTTCCTATCGCTAGTGCCGGCTCATCCTTTCGAGTGTAAGTGAGGTGTCACTTCCTCCAGGAGGTTTTTTCTAGCTCTACACAGATTAGTTGAGATGCTCTCCTCCATGCTCCTGTAGCACTGCATTTCCCTGTCACAGCACTTCCACTGTTCTCTTGCTTGCTTCCTATTTAACTTCTCTCCTAGACCTATACTGTCTAATACAGTTGCCAGTAGCCACATGTGTCTATGGAACTCTTGAAATGTGGCTGCTCCTAACTGGAAGATCATATATGTAAAATACACACCTTAACTTGAAAAAAGAATTTAGTGTATCTCAAAAATGTATATGTTCATCCTGTGTTGAAATGGTCGTATTTTAGAAATTATTGGGTTACATACAATATTAAAATTAACTATACCTGTTTCTTTTTACTTTTTCAAGGTGGCTATAGAAAATTTTAAGTAATATATGTGTATTGTATTATATTTTTATTGGATGGTCCTGCTCTAGATGATAAACACTGTGAGGGCTCTGTCATGACTCTCTTACTCATCACTGTACCCCCAGTGCTTAGCATAGTTTTGGCTTTGGAAGGCATTTGGTAAATACTTTTTCAAAGTTAATGTATAAAATAAATAGATCAGGAAGGTTCTGCTTTTATAAAGTTGGTATTCAGTGAAATAACATCAGTGGAACTAAAAAATTGGTGTTCAGTCTTGGAGGTCATAAACAGTGATTCCCTCCATACCATTATGCTCTAATAACACTAACACTAAAGTACTCAAGTAAATTAGGAAAAGCACATTGC